CCGCGGGCGCCCGCCTCCCCCACACCCTGCTGCTGCTGCTGCTGTTGTTGTTGTTCCCGTCGCATTGGGGCTCGAACCGCCAGAGCCGCCGGGGCCTGATCCCCCACCGCCCCCCTGCAGCTTTGACACAGCCAGGTCCTTGACAGCTGAGGGCAAACCCTTGATGCCCAGCAAGCTGCCTGAGTTGGTGAATTTCAGGTTGGACACCTTGTTGATGAGGGTGCAGAGGGTTGTGCCTCCGTCTTCCAGGTGGTCAGACCCATGGCCGGTGGGGGTGCTCGAGCCAGTGGCACAGGAGGGCTGGACCTCAGTCGGCTGTGTGTAGGATGTCTCGGCTGTGGAGTGGGGGGGAGCCGAGACCTTAGGATTCATGGACAGGCCGTGGAGAAGCTCATCGACAGATGTCACTGACTCATTCCTGAAGCGGTTGTATTTGGTACGGTGAAGCATACCCTTCTCTCTCGTGCTCTCTCCCCTCTCTCCTCCAACCGACACGCGCAGCCTGCCTCCTTTACAAGTGCACTGGCAGACGTGGCTGAGCCGCACTGATTACCCTCTCCTGTAACATAGCAGCAGCGATATAGGCAGTGAACGCTTTATAGCAATCACAGGCCACCTGACAGTAATTTTCTCTGGTTACAGTGGCAGTTGTATTGGACCGCTGCTGCTGCTGCTGCTGCTGTGGCGGCTGCTGTCACCAAAGTCCAATCTTTTCCCAGAAAGATCCAGAGCTGCAATCTAATCCGTGGAGGAGAAATGTCCAGACACAATCCAGGAGAGGACAACACAATAGAGAAAGAAGAGGAAAAGAGATGGAGATATTAAAAAAAAAAAAAAAAAGATCTCTCAGCATTTGTGATGCAGCTCGTTTGGTGTCAGAAGGTGCTGCTGCAACAGATGTCGATTTGTTGCCAGAAAAATTTTTTTTTTGGAAAAAAGTAAGAAAAATCTATGCTGTCAGTGATCACAGATACGGCGTTGGTAGAGAATACACTCTGTGCTGACTGCTGCCTGCTGCCGGCTCCGAGCTACAGCATGACTCACTGATCTGAGAAAACCTTCTCAACAAAAGGCTTGCTGAACACTGCAAATCACTTCCTGTTGGAGGGAGAGGGGGGAGAAAAAAAACTCCCACTTACAGCACACGAGAACCAATCAATTTTTAAATTACCCTGTCAGATATTA